TGCACCAGCGCACCCCGCGCACGCGAGCGCCACCACACCCCTCCCCAGCCCCACGTGCCAGCGTGACAGCTGCCGCCGACCCCAGCAGCAGCCAACCGGACGTCACCACCCTGACAGCATTTCAGACTGGGCAGAGGCCAGCAACTCCAGAGCAGCAGGGCAGTTTGGCTACAGGCGCAAGCGCGGCACAGCGCAGGCAACACTCGTGCTGCGGGCACTCCAGGACCATCACCGTCTCCGAGGCCAGCAGCTGTGGGGCTGCTTTGTTGACTTCAAGCAGGCATATGACCACGTGCCCCAAGACCAGCTCTGGCAGAAGCTGGTTGCAGCGCAGGCGTTGTACAGCAACGTCCCCATGTCGGTGCGCACCTTGGCCGGGCTGTCGCCCTGCTTCCAGGTCGTGACAGGCCTCAAGCAGGGCTGCGCCCTCAGCCCCACCCTCTTTGACCTCTACATCGACGACCGGGAGGAGGAGCTGATGGCGGCGGCGCGGCGTGGCGAGCGGCTGGACCTCCCCAGCTTCCTCGGCAGCGGCGGCACCGCGGTACTGTACGCCGATGACATGGTACTGCTGAACAGGCCCAGCTGAATGACACCCATCTGCGCTTGCCTAAATCCTCCAGCTAGTGTAGGAGAAACTTTACATGGTTGAATGTCACGGGTTCAGAAACAGTAGGGAAGAAGCGCCTGGCTCAGCCAAACGCAGCAGCAGATACCGAGGAAACAAGGGAAGGCTCACACGCTCGCAAGGCAAAGGATGATGAATATGCTCTCAGGAATTTTGGCAGGACGGATGTCTGGGCCAGCCAATTGGCGGGCCCCAAGTAACTCACGGCTGGCATGGAGGCAGGCAAGTGCTGGGCGCTGACGAATGCGGTCAGCGCATGGAGGTTTGTGCAAGAGGGATCAAAGAGAGTGCTGATGGGCAGGTGGGTTCAAGGTGGACACTCTAAGGGTGTAGCGGGTTAGGACGGCCAGCCTGCGCGACTTAAGCGTGCAAGTGCCGCTCGCCCATGGTGGAGCTGCTGCGGCGGGGCCGGCCGAAATCATTCATGCGCAGCCTGCAGCAGGAGAAGAATGAAGCGTCAGTTGGATGCTGAAAGATCAGGGTACATAAACGCTCTCCAGTTCAGGAGAAGTGGCAGGATCCCGCGGGATCCTGCCATCAGCCGCTGACCCCGCCGCCACTCACGCGTCGTGAAGAGCCTTGGCCTCGGGACTCATCATGCGCTTGCCGAGCGGCTTCATGGCATACATGTCGCTCTCGCCACCACGACGCTTGGGCTGGGAGGGAGAGCTCTCGGCCGAGGAGCAGATGGCGGAGGCGCTGGACAGCGCCCGGGTGCCCTGGTAGGCGGTAGTGGCCAGGGACTTGCGGCAAGAGGCAACGAGGGCCCGAGACAGCATGGCTGCAAGCTGTCGGGAGTGCGAGAGAGTGAACCAGATGCAGGCCGCGGGCTGTTCTGGTGACTGGCAGTGAAGGCGAGGGAGTCAAACAGAGCGAGGGAAGTGTAGAATGACGCGCCAGGCCGCCGCCGCGTCCTTTTGTGCATCACGCGCCTGGTGGACACCTCGGCGCCAGCTTGGCGCGTCGCCATCTGGCGGCGGTGGCGGCCAGGTGTGTCACCTGGTGTGACCGCCGGACTGCCCTCGGCCATCTGGCGGTCCTGAAGCTCCCACTGCTCTGTAACATCTTCTGATGGCAATCGCAAGCTGGGGGTAAGGTGCAGGCGGGCACATCAAGGGTCAAAAGGGCGAGCACCGCGTGCACGCAACAACTATACCAAAAGCCCGCGCTTGGCTGGGAATCATCAAAGCAAGTGTCGCGACGGCAGGGGCTTTCTCGTTGCAAAGGAACAGTCACGCCGCCGGCCTTATGCCGGCGAACATGTGGGTTGGCACAGGAAGAAAAATGTACACGTGGGGCAGCACACAACGGGGGCAGAAGCGACGGGGATGAGCTGAGAAGCACCAGTGGTGCAAGAGATGGGATTGGGGGCGACTTGCAGGCAGGGATCCCAGCCCTGGCGGCACAACAGGAGCTGCACAGCTCAGGTGGTCTGGGAGCCGCTAACGACGCGGCTCTTCACAGCTTCCTGCACATCCTCATCCTCGGCCCGCTCCCTGGCCTCCGGGCTGGCATCCTTCTTGCCCTCCTGCGCGCCACAGCAGGCCGGCCAGCAGACGCGCTGGGCATGCAAGCGCTCCAACAAGAATGCACCGCAGTCGTAAAGGCACAGAGCTTGAAGGTGCTCATCTCTATTTCCGGTTGGCTGGCCGCCGCTGCTGCGCCTCACCTCCAGCACACGCTCTGTCGTCTTGTCCAGATCAAAGGACCCCTGCCGCAGCTCCTCCCGCCCCTCGTCGCTCTGCATGAGCCGCTTGGAGCCTTGAGAGCAGGCAGGCAGGCAGGCAGCGGCGCGGGCGGCGGGCGGGGAGGCAGGCTGCGTAAGCGCGCACCCCGGCAGCCCGGATGCACCAAGCTCATGAGGGTGGTTTGGCACGAGGTGCATCCTGGGCCGCTCTGCGCTACGGCTGGGCCTGGAGCCGCGCCGATTTGGGCGGGTAGTGGGCCTGCCTCCTCCTTTTAAACACGCTGACCAACCACCCATGTGCTGCCGCATGTGGTGGGCTTTGGGCCTGGCTCGACGTGGGCCTGCCCGGCTGGCTGCCATAGCATGGAGGCCTGATGCGACTGTGCAGGCAGAGCCTGCTGCGCTGCACCGCTCACCTTTCTCGGTGAGCTCCTGAGCCGCGTCGTCTGTGCTGCGCTCACTCGCACTGGCAAAGCCTGCAGGTGGCAGCGGACGCATGCCCAGGCGACTGGCGCGCCGTTTGCCACAAGCGCACCTGCCATTGCCAGCTGGCGCGCCCTGCTGCCGGCCCGCGGCAGGCTTGATGGGCTGCTGCAGGCGCTGCAACATGTACCCAGGCGGCAGGAATGGCAGGCCCCCACCTTGGCCGCTGGTGGAGGAGGTTGCCTGGGTGCGGGGCTGGCTGGTGCCCACCGTCGCGCCGCTGCCGCCGCCGCCGGCTGGCCCGGGGGTGCTGGGCATCGTGGCGCGCTGGCGTGGCTTGAGGCTGCCAAAGTCCGCTCGCCGCAGGCTGCATGCAAGACAGACCATCAGCGGGCGTGCAGTGGCCATGCAGGCGGCAGAGGCAGGGCGGCTGAATCCAAGGCTGTCAGAGTCGGCGGCGCCGCAACCGCGCACGGCCCCACCTCACCTCTCTGTTGTCTCCTGCGCTTCCTTGCTGAGCACCCTCGTACCCTTGCAGTGCTCCCGGAAAATGTACTCGTCTGGATCTCCCAGCGGCTTGGGCTTGGCCTTCTGCACTGCCGAAGTGGTGGACAGGGCGGCTGCGCCCTGCAGGCGGCGGCGGAAGGGTGGGTGGGCGAGCGGCAAGCTCAAGGTCGGCACAACCCCTCGCTCCGACACCGCGGCCCCCGCCTTTCCGGCACTGCCCCTCTACCTGCAGGCGACCAGCGAGCTGCCTGGCGGCTCGCTGTAGCGCGGCGGCCCGCTGCATGGCTCGCGACCCAAAACCCTGAGCGAGAAGCAAAAGTCAGGACTGCAGGAAGTGTGCGGAGCCCGGGGAGCTGTTGATTAATGTGTATATGCTAGCAGGAGCAAAGCATGAGGTCATGACCATGGGGCGGTCGGGTCGGCACGCTGCGGGAAGCTGAGCGGGTGGCGGCGCGGGTTTCCACAGGTGCTCCCTGGGGAGCCTGAACGGCCCCCTAGCTGTTCCATCCACATCATAGCCATCCACATCATGAATCCAAGCGCAGAGAGGGATGTTTTGGACCGGCGGGGGCTGGAGGGGGAGCCCCTGGGCGGCGCAGATGCTCTGGCCAAGCACACGCTCGGCTCTATGGCTGTGCCCAGCAGGCCCTCTGGAGACCTGACGGGCGTGGTGGCGGACTCTGCTGCGGCGGTGGGGGCGGCGGTGACCCAGGCTGCGACCACGGCTGCAGGCGCGGCCAAGAAGGCGGTGGGCGGCGAGACTCGAGGCAGCAGCTGATTTGACGAGCATGACAGCGCAATTCACAGCATGGAGTAGAGCAAACAAAAGACCAGCTTCCGATAAAAATTAATGCTTTGCATTTGGTGCAATAGCGCTGCGTGCACACTCGGGACAACACATTCCGCGCAGGTGGCGCCGCAACGCCCGCCCGACCGCGCAGGTGCCGCCGCTGCGTGCCGCCTGCTATCCCGTCGTGCCGGTCGGCGCCAGGCCAAAGTTGGGGACGTTGAGGAGCCCCATGCGGCGAACATACAGCCCCACGGCAGTCATGGCGCCCAGGCCCAGCACCACCCCTCCGCCCGCGATGGTCCACAGGCTGTACGGGTCCCACCGCTCCAGGCCGCTGGTCAAGTTCATTCCAAAAATGCTGGCAGGCGGCAGGGGAGGCAGGCAGGGAGGCGGGCAGGTAGTCATCAGGTGGGGCCACGACGTTGGCAATTGCGGGGTGGCCAAGGCAGGTCGGCTTCGCCGATGCAGAGCGCTGCCCTCCGCTGCTGCTGCCAACAGGCACGCCCCTGGCAACACGCGATAAGCCATCCCCGGCACCCGCACCAACAGCTCCAAAGGCACCCACCCGGTGATTGCCATGTGGATCTCAAAGCACATGAGCATCAGGTCTACCGCAAGCCCCAGCGCCACCTGCAGGCACCAGGCAAATGGCAGAAGGTGGCTGGCCAGTCAGCCTGCCTCCAACGTTGAACCGGACCACAGGTGCCGCTGCGGCACAGCGTGGCAGCAGCGTGCGGTGCCAGTGGCAGCCAAGCCGGAGCATGCGCAGCCCAGCATGGCAGCAACGTTTGGCGGTACTCCCAGCAATGACAACCACCAGACCTACCAGCGCATTGCGCTTGGCATCCAGGTCCAGATTTACTAGGTGCTCGGTGTTGGTGATGCGCTCCTGCAAGCAGAAGGCAGGGCGACAGCACACCACGCTACCGTCGGCGAAGCGGCGAGCAAGGTGGAGTGCGTGGGGCTGCAGCAAGGGAGCCGACGGGGCGCTGCACACAGGGAACAGGGAAGCTGCCAGCCGGCAAGAGAATCCTGCCGATCCGGCCCCGCCGTACACCTGCAGTATCTTGAGGCGGCTCAGCGCAGAGTCCACCTGCGCGGGCAGATGGGTCAGCCGCTCACTCAACACCAAGCCCGCGGCAGCCAGCTGGCAGCAGCCAGCCAGCCAGCCACCAAACGGGGCTGGCAGGCTGCCCCAGGCACCCGGCAGCAGCGAGGGGCAGCGGAGGCAGCCGGAGGGCTCGCCTGCAGCCAGTAGGCCTCCATCAGGTCCTCGGCCTCCCCCACCTCATCCCGATCCATGTCCATGGCGGTCTGCATGGCGGCGCAGCAGGGAGATTGGACACATCCCATTCCAAAGACCAAGGATTTTGTGGGAACCATCCGTGCTGCGCCTGGCAGATGCCCCAATTGTGCGGGGCAGCCCCAACCCGAGCTGCTGCATCAGCGCTCCCCAGGTGCAGCAGCCAGCACCCAGCCAGCACGTGCCTGGTCACACTTGCTGCCCTCTTTGTCGCCGCTGTCTGCGCGGCGGCAGCCTCCCGGGTCCGAGTCTGCCTTGGGGCTGCCGCCCTCAGTCCTGCACGCATCACCCCTGCAGGCAGCAGCAGCACAGCAGATGGCACCAGCAAGGATGGTACTCCAGCACAAAGCATGCGGGCGCAGGGAACTGAGCAAAGGACAGCGTTGAAGAGAAGGCCATGGCAGCAGTAGATTAGCCGCAGGCATTGACAGCGGCAACAGCAGCGCTGGTAAGTGTTGGCAGCAGCAGAGGAGGCAGCGCGCCTCGACAGGCACAGCCCCGCCATCTGAAGCTCATCATCTAGGAGCTCCTGCAGCAGCAGGGGAGGCAGCCATTGAGCCCACGCCTCCGATATCATCCCGCATCCAATTGCATCGCGCAGTATTGAGCCCACGACGGCACCGACCCAGGGAAGGAGGCATCGCAGCAAAGCCGGATGCTGTGCCAAGCCCAACACCTACTGGCCGCCTGCCCACCCTCTTCTCCCTGCCACTCCCATCTCCTTGATCTTTCCCACCCGTGCATGCCCTTCAGCTTCCGTGTTGCTGCGCTGTAGCTGCCCTCCGTACCCCCCGCTGCGCACCTCCAGTATCTCCTTGATCTTCGCCACCCTAGCCACTGTCTTGTCCAGCCGGTTCTGGATCTCGTACAGCTGCAAAAAAAAGAAAAACATTAAAAAAAGAATAAGTAAAGCATGTCTCACACGCATTGACAAGAGTGTTGTGCTTACCTGCTCCAGGTCGAGGCGCGTGACGCTGCGCCGGATGCGCGCCAGCACTGCGAGCGATGGTGTGTGTGGGATGGAGGGCGCATGCAAGGAGGGTGGAGCCGGGCATGGCATAGACAGGCGTACCGCCGAGCAAAACACCGGGCATGGCATGCCCAGCAGCCGCAGCGCACAGCCACAGGCATGCCCGCGCCGGCCCCATCTTCCGGTGTGCCACCCCCGCAAACTCGCGCGTGCAGGCAGGCGGGTGTTCAGCCGCAGGCACAGCAGCAGGCGGCCTCGCTATAGCACCTGGGTGTGTGACCGACTCCAGGTAGGCCACCTCATGCTGCAGTACCTGCAGTACCATCAGCAGGGCCGCCTCCAGCGCCCGCAGCTCGTAGGGCAGCGCCTCCATCAGCTTCAGCTCCTCCAGGCTCATGTAGCTGGCGGCAGGCGGCAGCCCATCGGCGCCTGCATGGCGCGCCAGGAAGACCATTCCGGTCAAAGACAGCAGGCGAGGAGGCAGGCAGGGCAGGGGAAGGGCAGGTGCAGCAGGGGCGGGTGCCCCCGGGGTACCGCAGCAGGCAGGCAGGCAGGCAGGCAGGCAGGTACGCGGGCAGGCAGAGGTGTGGAGGCACCCAGCGGGGCACCTGGCGCCTCCGAGAACAAGAACTTGGAGGCTGCGATGTGGTTGCTGCAGAGACAAGGCGGGGAGCGGGTTGGGTCAGAGGCGTGAGCCCACCAGCCTGTGGCAGGCATGCCGATCAGCACATCGCCTGCCCTGCACCGAGCCATGCGCCATGATGGCAGCAGCTGCCGCACCTCAGGCGCACCACCACCGGATTGCTGATGTCCGGCAGCGTACGGGCGGCCAGGTCTGTGAGGGAAGGCACCGAGATGACCAAGGTCTTGTCCCTGCAGCCAGCGGGAGCGGCAGCTTGGTGTGGAGAATTGCGGACACTTCCTCGGCCATCGTTAAGCGGCTGCTAATCTTGCAGCCAGTCGGGCAGCATAGTTCCAACAGGCAGCGCCCCTGCCCCGCCCACCTGCCGATGATGAGCTTCAGGCCTTCCAGGTTCAGCACCAGCGCCTGCTTGCGCACAAAGATGGCTGACGGGTCTGCGGCAGGGCAAGTCCGGGCACAGGCATGGCGCTGGGCGGCTGTAGAGGGCTGCGAGTCGCCACCCAGCAGGGCAAACGAGCACCTCGCCGCTGCCCTGCGGCTGCCACGCACAGGGCAGCTGCACGGCGGGGTCCAGGGCGCGGATGTCGCGGTGCCGCAGCGCCAGCTCCGTCACAAGCGCCTGCTTGCGCAGCGTCGTGTAGCTAGCGTGACCTGCGCCACGCGGCAGGCAGGTGGCGGCGGCAGCGGCGGCGGCAGGGAGGCGTTCTTGTGAGCCTCGGCAGCAACCGTTTGCTCGTCGCATTCATTCGGCACCCCGACACCGGGCAGAGGTGTCCAGGGGTGGAGGAAACCGCGTGGCGACGGGGCGCGGGCCGACACACATGCCGTCACCCACCAGCCTCATCAATCAAGACAATGCTCTTGCTGGAGTTCTTGGGAGGCAAGCCACGTGCGCTGGCAGCGTCCCTGCGCTGCAGCATCAACGGCCCCGACTCCATGCTGTTTGGCAGCTCCTAAAGGGGACGCTATTCTATGTGATTATACAGTCTGCCTGAAACGGTAACGCGAGGAGTGGCTGTGGACATGGCTTGCGCAAATGAGATGAGAATGCAGCCGCCGCCGACACGTCAGCAGGCGCCAGGTGCTGCGGGGCTGCGATGGTCCGCCCAGAAGGCATGATGATGTGCTCTTGTCGGTGTTGAGACTGTGTATCTTCAAAACAGCAGCAAACTGGACGTGCGCCGACTGATGCCTGCCCCACTCCCCCTGGGCACGCCAACTTGGCCGCGCCTTGGCCCTGTCCCAGGGGCCTCCCACGCTTCTTTGGAGCCTGCCACTGGGTCCCCCACGTTCATTACTGGCTGCAAACATGGGGCCGCTCTCCGAGCCTGATATGCACACCTGTGAGCTGGCTACCGTCGTCCTGCAGGCAGGCAGGGCCCGGCTGGGCGGCCAGGCGGCGGCCTTCACCGACCCAGACTCCCTGGCAGATGCCCTGCTGGACGCCGGCTGCCGCCAGGTGCAGGCCCTGGACATGCAGCAGCACCGCGGCCACATCTCCAGCGCCTCACCCGGCTCAGAGGCCCAGGTGAGGGCAGAAGAGATGGAGGAAGGGGCATTGGGTCGGGTGCATCGCAGCGCTGGACGCGGGCAGCCCGTCGCCGCTCCCCGTCGCAAGGTTGCTGCTTCGGCACTGCACCAGTGTTGAACCAAAGTATTGTGCTGCTCCTGCACACAGTCGGTGGCGGAGCGCCTGCACCGGCAGCCAGAGCCACGGGCGGCGCAGCTGGTTCGCCAGCGGGTGCACGCAGGCGAGGGCGGTGCTGGCTTCGCCGCCGCACGCATGCAGCGTCGGGGGTGCCCGCTCATCTCCAGCACTCGCTGCCCTGGGGTGGCTGCCCCGCTGTTCTAGACTTCAAAACTCTCCCTGGACTCATTCACGCACACCTTGCAGAGTGGCTGCTACACGACCCACGCCTGAACCGACTGGCCGACCAGGTGATTGAGATGGGGCTGGGTGAGCCGCCGCCGCCAGGCGTGGCGCCGGCAGCCATCGAGGCTGCCGCACGGCATGCGCTGGACGTGGCCCGGCGGCGCCTGGCGGCGGCAGAGGGCAACCACGTGACAGCAGGCGGGGATGCGGCAGAGGTCGACTCCGCCTTTGAAACGTTCGACCCTCCCATCAGGCGAGCCGCGAGCGCTGGCTGCTGCAGAGCCGCTGCCCCGCACAGCAGCTGTTGAAAGAGCAGCAGCAGGGTGATGCACACGCCTGCAACCGGCAGCTTGCCATGGAGCCACCAGCCTCGGCCCTGTGTTCTCGTCATGCCCTGCCCATCTAACCTAAGTGCGTGCAGGCGCCGTGCCCTGGCTGACATCGTGCTGAGCAAGCTGCGCCAGCGGGGCATGCTGAGTACGTTGCCGTGCCACGAGGCAGGAGGCACTGATGCTGGCGGGGTGCAGTTCGCATGAGGGCTCATGCGCCAGGCTGCCGAGTTGAAGGCTACTCACGTGGTTGGTGCATGCACGATAACAGTAGATAGCGCAGTTCTTGGCTGTGATGAGGAATCAGACAATGAAAGCGGAAGCAGACGAAAACAGTATGTGAATCGGTCGGTAGAGGAAACTGGTGGAGCAGAGGCTCCGGAAGCCCCACCGCCTGCCATCGGGCCATGCCGGCGCAGGGGGGAGTGGCGTGCTATGCCGCAGACCCCGCCGCCTCCTCCCCCACCAGCCCCTTCTCCAGCAGCAGCCGCTCCAGCTCGCCGCTGCTGTCCAGCGCGGCCACATCGTCGGCGCCGCCGATGAACTGCTGGTCCACAAAGATCCGGGGCACGGTGCGGCCGCCCTGCGCCAGGCCACAACACCACACATTCAGTTCAGCCCGGGATGTCCATCGGGAGAGAGCATCAAGTGGTAGTAGCTGCACCAGCATTCCCCACGCACACAAGCACTTCCCACGCCCTCCCCCTCCACCACCGCCCGCGCTGCCGCCTCTCCTGCCGGCTGCTGCCGCTCCTCCCTGCCGCACGCACCGTGACGTGCTGCAGCTCATCCTGCAGCTCAGCCATGTCGTCCCGCTCATCCAGCTCCACCACCGCCACGCCGCCCTCGCCCAGGTGCCGCCGCATGACGGCCTTGCCGCGCATGCTGCGCGCGGCGGGCGGGCGGGGATGCATGACGAAGTGTAAGGAAGTGCAGGGGATGGTGCAGGGCAGAGGGGGGGCACCGCCTATTGATGAAGCGCAACAGAGCAACCAGGCCCGGGAGCAGCAACCTTTTGAACAACACAGCGAAGACCACTAAACCTGAACGACCTCTTCGACTGTGTTTCCAACCTGGGGCGCACCTGTAGGGGCAGTACGACTTGGAGAAGACGACGACCCGGTTCTCGGTGATGGTGCGCGTCACAAACTGCGCCGGCGTCTCGGGGCCGTGTGAGTCGTCGTCGCCGCCGCCGCCGCCGTGCGCCTCCTCCAGCGCCGGCTCCTCCTCCTCGTGCCCGACCACCAGATCCTCCTCCTGCTCCTCAGGATAGGTGGTGCCATCGGCGGCGGTGTCGTCGGCGGCAAAGCCGGTGGCTGTGGGATCAGCAAGGTCGTCAAGGGCACTGCGGGACTGGGCGGGCACCAGGCCCGCGGTGCGGATGGCCCAGGACAGAAAGAGCTTGAAGCCAAAGGCCAGGGCCAGCAGCAGGAAGAGCTTGAAGAACTTGGCGGTGGTGGCCTGCTGCGGCGCCTTGCGGCGGGGCGGCAGGCTGGCGCGGCTGGTGCCGGCCGCGGGGTCCTCGTAGCACTGCTGGTTGGCTTGTCGAGGATTCGGTTGCTATTTCTGCGGCAGGCCGGGGTCCCCCGCAGTGGGACCAGCAGAACAATAATACACCGCAGCAGCAAGCGGGAAGGGGCGCCGGGTGGGCGGCAGTCCAATGGGCGCGGAGGGCGCACTGCCGGCAGCGGGCGCGATGCAATTGGCAGCTGCAGGCAGACGCGAACCTGCTGCTGCCGGGCTTCACTTGGGCTTCACTTGGGCGTGGGATTGCAGCGCGATGGGTTTTATGCGGCCAGGGCTGGCCGGCCTCTGCCTTGCATGCAACCTGCAAGCTGAGCTGCACATGACACAAGAGATGATCGGCAGGCCACTACCCGCGGAAAGGGTTTTGCCAGCGCAGCTTTGATGCGTCCAGGCTCCAATGCGGAGGGAGCCACACTGATGCACGCTGTGAATAGCTGGAGTGGGTATCAGGATATGGGTTTTGAGGTGCAAGGCAGGTGCAAGGGCTGAGAGTCGGGCGCCGCCGTCGGTGGCGACGCCACCACCTACCCCTTGCCGTACTCGCCCCGGCAACAAGTTACAGCTGGGAAGACAGTCATGAAATGATGTTGAATGAATGAATTGCACACGAGCGAGCAGCAGCAGCAGCAGTGAGGGAGCGAGAGGAAACGGGCAAGCCGCAGGTGTCAGGTCGAGGAGCAGCAAGGTGCAGGGGCATCCGTTGTGGACAGAACGCACACGAGGGGAGCAGCCACCCGCGCCCGCTGCCTGCTGAATCAATGTAGCATCAGAGTAGGAATCCAAAATAAATCAGGTGGTCGGCAGAAGCCGGCGGCTCGCTGGCGGGCGCGCCCAGCACCCGCGCAAAATGCTGCGAGCCATCAGAAGCGGTCGGGCGTGGCGTCGGACGGCATGAGCGGCCCCAGGCGCGGCGTCTCCAAGTGGTGCGGCGACTCCACGCCGCCGCTGCCGGCGGGCTGCGGCTGCATGCCCACGCGCGCCCGCTTGGCAGCCTCATCCAGGCGGTAGCCCAGCAGGTCTTTGCGGGTCACCATGCCCTGCAGGAAAGGAGGCGAGGGGAGGCGCATATAAACGAGGCAGCGCGCAGGGATCGGGGGGGCGGACCCGGGTTAGCGCGCCTGTGGCCGGCCAGCCCTGCCGTGGCACCTATGCACAATAGGGCAGGCCGGCCGCCCAGCCGACCAACGCCACAGCAACCACCCCGAGCAACCATCCACACACACACACACACGCGCGCCCCTGTGCTTGTCTGCGTCGCAAGTTCCTTTGCGGACATGCGGGCTGCGGACACAAGGAGCAAGCCCTGCGCCCTCCACCCACCCGCACGCGGTTGTGCTCATCCACCACCACCAGGTGGCGCAGCCCCATGGTGGAGAACAGGATGTAGGCCCGCTCCAGGGTGTAGCTCTCGGGCACGCGGATGGCTGCAGGAGCGGCGGCGCGGGGAGGGGCCGGGGCCGGGGGAGGTTCAACAGAGTGGAGCAGCAGGCCAGGAAGCAGGGCGCGCGAGGCGGCGGCGGCAGGGGCGCCAGGGCGCCCAGCACCCCCCACTGTCTCTCGCACACACCCACGCACAACGCTCGACTCATCTCAGCCATGGTCGCCAGCCGGCGGCCTGCGTTGGGCGCCCACCTGAGCTGTTGATGTAGGGGGTGAGGTCCAGCGTCTCGTCCCACAGGTTGGGGTCATTAGGGAAGTGGCTGGGGGTCAACGGGCGGCCCTGCGCAGGCGCAGGCGCCACCGCCGCCGCCGTCAGCGGCCCAGCACTCCCGATCGAGCGGCGCCCAGCTTCTCGAGAGCCGCCTCCCCCTCTGGGAAACCTGCCTCAGCGCCCCCCCCCCACATGCCAGCGTCCCGCCTGCAATGCAGCCAGGCCACCGTCCCTCCGGTACTGTCCGCCTGTACTGCCCGCACCCCAGGCGCGGCACCCTCACCTCCAGCACTGCCATCTGCTGCGCCGCCTCGCTCTCCAACGCAGAAGCATCCACAAACTGGCGGTTGAGCTCGCTGCAGGGGCAGGCGGCAGGGGCAGCGGCGGCGAAGGGGCGGATCAGCGGGGCGTGGAGGAGCAGGCGGGGGCGAGCAGGAGCTGGGAGCTGTGGGTGCGGGCCGGCAAGCAGCAGCAGCAGCAGCAACGGCGGCGGCAGCAGCAGCAGCAGCAGCGGCAGCAGCAGCGGCAGGCTCATGCAACACTGGTATAGCCGCCTGGCGCCCACCCGCGCAGCCCAGCACGCCGCCGGCACAGGGCAGCGCCGCAGCGCGTGACGCTGCTGCCACCAACCTGAACGGCACCTCCAGGTGCTGGCAGGTGCCCCGCTTCACCGCCTCCACCAGCAGCTTCATCAGATGGTCCCGCACCACCAGCCCCACACACACGCCGCCCTGCGGGAGGGCAGGAGGGCAGCAGGGCGGGCGGGCAGGCGCTCAGGGGCAGGCAGGCAGGCAGAGCGTCGAGGCCAGGCAGGCAGGCCGGCAGGCAGCACGCCCTGCATGCTCCTGGCACACGGGTAGGAGGCCGCGGCAGGTTCAGGGCTTTAAAGAAAGAAATAAGAAAGGAGGCGCACTTGCGGCGTGTCGCGCACTACCGGGAAGCCGTTGTGCCGCGTCTTGCGCAGCACATCCCTGCACGCCAGGCCGGGCCGTGCAGCGTGTCCTTGCTGAGCTCGCCGGCATGCTGGGAGCCTGCCACGTGCCAGGCACACGCCGGCCAGCTGTGGCGCCGAGGCAGCCCGCGCAGCGTACCCCGCCCCCAACCCTGCCAGCCTGCCAGCCTGCCAGCTCAGCGAGCCGCCCCTGCGTCCGCAGGCGGCGGCGCCCACCTGACGTCCCCCAGCCGCATCTGCTCGTGCAGCGTCACCACGGGCGCGTGCATCACGTACCGCACCTCCACCAGATCTAGAGACATGTGGGTGGCGGGCTGTGCAGCAGGGCCGGCAATGGGGCAGCGAGCCAGGTGGGGCGCTCAGCCAGGCATCAGCACGCCGCACCACCTTGAGCAGAAAGGGCGTGCGGCAGCAGCACGACACCACCACCACCAGCGCCACCAGACCCCAAACACCAACCAGCCCCGCCCACCTGCCTCGGCACAACAACCACGCACCGGACCTCCCGCCCCCTCGAAACAAAACCTCGCAGCAGCAGCGGCGGCGGCGGCGGCAGCAGCAGCAGGCGTCGCCGTTGGCGCCGCCGGCGGGGTGCCCGCTCACCTCCTTGGGCAGGAAGGGCACGCACTTGACCTCCAGCAGGCCGTGGTACAGCGAGTGGGTGGCGGAGTCGGCCACAAACTTGGCCAGCATGATGGCAACCATGGTGGGCAGCAGGATGCGCACGTCGTTGGACATCTGCTCGGGTGCGAGATGGCGGGTGGGGAGGGCGCACGGGAGGGCAGGGAGACGGTGAGGAAGGGCGGGTGGGAACAGGCAGGCAGGCAGGCAGGCAGGCATGTGGGCGGGCAGGCGGGGGCGTGCAGCACGGTGCCTTCCCTGCTGCCGCTGACGCCTTGCCTCCCTGCACGCTCGGGCCCCTCTGCTAACCCAACCACACCCACACCACACACACCACCAACACGTGTCCACCCACCTACCCACCCACACCCACACACCTCCATAATGATGACAGCCAGCGCCAGGGTCATGCGCGTGACGCCCCCCATGAAGGCCCCCGCCCCGATCAGCGCAAACGCCCCTGGGTCGATCCAGGCCCAGGGTGAGGGAGGCAGGAAGACGCCCGGCGGCGCCCTGCCGGGGCAGGCGGGCGAGGCGGTGGTGTGAAAATCGTGGTGGTGGTGGGACGGAGGTGGTGGTGCTGGTGGTGGTGGGGTGCTGAGGTGCAGCAGGGCAGCGGGGTGGCAGCTGGCAGGGGCCAGGCAGGCAGGCCCGCGCGGCCGCTCACCCCTCGGAGCCGAGGCCGCGTGCCGCCGCAATGTCCACGCCTATCAGCCCCACCAGCCGCCCGATGCAGGCCCCGATGAGCAGCATGGGCACAAACACGCCAGAGGAAATGGCGGAGCCGGCTGCAGGGGGTGGGGTGGGGTTGTGCAGGGGCCGGCTGGGGGTCAGGGGCGGCGCCGGCGTGGTGCCGCCGGCGGCAGCGCCAGCCACCGGGGGCGCCATGCAGCTGTCATCCTCCCAGCCCGGTCCCGCATTTGCATGCCAGCAACGCTGCCCAGCCCAGCAGCAGCAGCAGGCATGCAGGCAGGCAGCCGGCTCGCCTGTCCATGCCGCTCCCAGGAAGTAGAAAGCCAGCATGACTGCGATGGCGGCATACCCAAACTCGCGGTGTGTGCCGCGACTGAACAGGTGGCGGATCGCGTTCTCGCCTGCGGCGGCCGGCGCGGGTGGATGCCCACACCTCAGGACAGGCACGGGCCAGCTTGCGAGGGGA